TCTGTCTGTCTGTCTGTCTGTCTGTCTGTCGTGTGGTTCATGTGTAATTTTAAATTTCAAAGAATTTGTAAATGCAATAATAATATGGTAATAACATGCTAGCGTTCAAAAAAATTGAGTATTTTCACTCATTAATGAGAAGTTGCTGATTAAATACAATACGGTTTTAGCTGAAAAATCTAAAGTTGTGACTGTTTTATAAAATAATGGTTCTACAGGTTCAAACAGATTGGGAATGTGAAAGTAGTGTCGAGATTTCGAGTGCATTATGAGGGTTACGAAGTGAAATCCGGTGTGTTTTCGGAGTGTGTGTGTTTTGTCAGATCTGAAGGCGCTGAGCTTGAGTTCTGCTGTCATGGGCTCTTCAGGAAAGAGTAGTTTATTTGGGGATCTGAGCTGATGCCAGATTTAGCTCGTGCTGTCAGTGACTCTGCTTTGACGTCGATTGGTTTTGTCAGTCTCTCTGTGGATGAAGTTTCCAGAGCGAGTGTTTGCTGTATAAATGTGTGTGTGTGTGGTTTTCACAGGCTGGTACACACCGCCCAAAGAGGACGGCTAGAGCACAGCATCCACACATGGACCGAGCATCTTCAGACGGACATCTTTCTCCTCTCACCCCTCGTTTTAATCAGAGCCACTCTTTCTGACACTTCTCTTTCCCCGCGGGGTAAAAAGGCTTGATTTGACTCAAGTTTGACCACCTGACGTTCCTTCATCATCTCAAACAATGCCACGATTCCAGCAGAGCGATGCAATCTGACGCCAATATCTCTGAAAGAGCCCCCACACAGCACGATTTCTGCAGCGCTCCTCCATTGCTTATGATTGTTTTGGTTGCATATTGAAAAAAAAACAAAGTTGTTACCATGGCAACCCAGACTTCATTGTGTTGAAAATGAACTCCACAATCAAGTATTATACAGATGCATTTGGATGAATGAACCTTTAAAAGAACAGCAGGAGCTTCCCTCCGTCTGATTACGTGACGTAACGCGAGTCTGTTTGCATCATGAGAATGGGTTTGAGTGTGTTCATGCCATTGCAAAGCATTTCTATCAGTCCTGTAAACGGCTTCTCCCTCCCATCATGGCCAACAGAACTGTCTGGGTTTGTAGAAGTGTATTTACCGTGTTATTTCAAGCCCCTGCAGTCTCTTGGGAAGCTGGGAGTGACCGATAATGCCTTAAAAAGGAGGAAAAAGGAAGTTAGTGTTTCTCGCCGTCGTCTACAGTATTTCCGTTCGAAACACATCATTAGAGGTCGATCTGATGGCTGTGACCACAAGAAAACAGCCCTGCTTTAGTGTTAATATCATTCAGAAGCATGTTCGTGTTCCTCTGTCCGATGCACTGAATCAGTTTTCCTCTAGATTCCTGTCGAAAGCACTGGGATGGTTCGGCTGTTTTCTGACATTCACACAGGCCAATGTGAGCCGCTTCACTGTTTAATTTAGGTAAAGTACAGAACTAAATAACGCCACTCTGAAATCAAGCCATAGATAGAGTCCATAGCTGTTCCTCTGCTTCTGAGTGTTTGGAACGGGGAAGTGTGTGATGCGTTGTTCGTTCGTTCGTTCAGACGGAGGAGTTTGTTTGATGGCTTCAATGCGTCATGCACTGTTAGCATGCTTCAGTTTAATTGCATTTTATTTTTTCCATTGTAAGTGTAATCTCGACCATGTACAGTACAATTTGTAAACTTGCATCAAGTTTATGAATAAAGGATTTTAAGAAATACATCAGTGCAATCTGTTTGTGTTTAATCAAGTTTTACTCATGGCTTTTCTTAATGTTGTTTTTTTTTTTTGGTCAATTGTGAGCAATGGGAATATTTTCGTCACTCCATGAGACATAATAGAATTTCAAAAAAAGTAGGTATTTTATTTTATAATTTTGAGGAAAGGGAAATGCTAAATCAAAAAGAAATGCATATTCCTTTATACTTGGATCGATTTTATGTATCAGTACTTGAAATGTTACATTATATTACATTATAGTTTTGGTAATATTTTAAATGTTATTTTTTTAATATTTTGTTTCATCATTTTATATTTGCCTTTTTCATGTAAATGGAGGCTTGCTTTGAGCCTGAACAAACTTTTGCACAGTAAATGTGCCAGACACGGTCCTTCTGTCTGTATTCTGACATTTGACTTGATTCACTGAAATGCAACTTGATTTATTGTTGCCTGTTTCAACTCAAAACCACACAGGTGGGATTAAACTAGTTTTTAAATTGGTTTTTGTGCTTCTAATATACATTAGTTGTGTGTCTGTCCACCAGGTGGCGCCATCAGCTCATGAAAATGCCATTGAGGCTTTAGTTGCATGCATGATATTCCCTTATTTTTGTATTTTTGCGTGCTCACAGAACTGTAAAGCCATGCATTTTATTTATTGATGTTCCTGCCGTTCAATGCGACGCTTTTAAGACATCTTTGATCAATCTCCGAGTCTAAACTCCTCTTTTATCCGAGAGCTTTATAGCAGTTGAATCAGGCTGACTGTATTTCTCTCTCCAGTCATTGTGCTTTTGGAAATGCTTTCAGATGCTCTCAGGACGCAAACGCTCGGCTCTTAAGGGCCAGAAATGAGAGCACGTTTTTCGGTATGACGAAGCATGGACTGGATTCAATCATGTTTCTGCGTCTCCAGGAGGTTAATAGCCAATTGTTGAAATAACTCCAATTATATGTGCATGTGTTGTGGTCTAGTTTCCATCGCTGACCTCGCAGTAGATGATTCTTAGCTTCTACGCTTCACAATAAATACATGGAAGTCTTTGGGTAACTGTTTATTGACGAGAGGATTTAGTGAGAAATGATCTGTGATCAGTTGTGTGAGGTCAGACCTCGAGCAGCTCAATGAGTCTGTCTGATGAGCTTGAGCAACTGTAATCCTGTGATGATGGTCAGTCTGTGTCTGTGATAGCAGGAGCTCCAGCACACATATTCATATTGAATATTGGGAAATTGAATTTCTGTCTCTGATATAAACCTCATCTCTGGACAGGCTTTCCTGCGCTTCATATCAGACTGACTGTGTCTGCCAGGAGATAAGGGGAGAGAGATATATATATATATATAAGACTATTTAAGGATCACTGTTCAGGCCCAAAAATATTAATCATTGTCATTTTTAAATCTTTACCAATCTTACTATCCTTCAAACCACTAGGTTTTACCCATTTGTCAGCATAAGGTTTTTTTTTTTTTTTAATGTGCTTTAAAGTAAAACTTATTTTGACATCTTGACATCTATTACAAAGTGCACTATTTCTACTTAAAAAGTCTACTGTAAAAGTCTACTTAAGTGTGTTAAAGTCATGAAAGTGTTTCTCTTTAAGTCACTTAAGTGGCCTTTCACTTCAGTCATATTATATTATCTATACAAAAAAAAAGCAATAGAATACATTCAAGCACACTTCTGTTTCACAAGGGTGCACAGATAGCCAGATCGTGGTCGACGTCGTCTTTGGCTCTACAGACGTGTCATTGACCAGTGACCACATTAAAGCGGCCCTGTTATTGGGTTGGTAATTACCCAGAGTCCCTTGCAGGTTATGCTAATGAGCGGCCGCTCTCGTAAGTAGGCTATCTATATGCAGAGGCTCTTGTAATGGATTTGCTCATTTATTACTGTTAATGTGTTAATGTTCACTGATGAGGAGGGGAAAGAAGAACTAGACACAGACCTGAGACAGATATTTATACATATTAGCAGAGCTTTTAGACACGCAGCGGATTTCATGACTGATTGTTGTCATTCTCGTTCAATATCTGCGGTCGGCTGCATCTCATTCCTCATCCGCACACACACACACACACTCTCTCTCACACTTACATACACACACCACACACATGTGCGCACACTCTCACACTTACATACACACCCCCCACACACACACGCACACACGCACTCTCACACACACACACACACACTCACACGCACACACACACACACACACTACATCCAACAGGCCATTTCTGAGCACTTAGCAGCATTTCTGTGGTTTATCTGTGGTTCCTTCACCTCGCTGTTGATCCCGGATATCAGCCCATTTCCCCTGAAACCAGAGATGCATTGTGGGTAACAAAGGGCCGTAGAGTGCAAACCTGATCCAGTGATTCGGGTCAGAGCCTCTCAGATGACACTGACTGATGGAACGAGCCACATTAATAGAGTTATAGCAGAGGATTCGTGATCTGGTCAAACCCAGTGAGAACCAGACGTGAGCACAGAGAAGTCATTGCATGTGCTGACTCTGGATGTCCAGCGGGAAATAAGAACGGAGAATCACGGCGACACGTCTCTCTGACCTTTAGTGATACATGTATATTTTCTAATAAACACTGAGAAAGAAAGCTGTTAGTTTCCACATTCAGCAGCAGAAGTACAGAACACAACCGGACTCGTTTAGATTCACGAAACAAGATGTTGATACGCAGTTACATCTGAGACACCGCCAGTTACTTAAGTGACTTAAAGAGAGACATGACGCTTAAGTAGACTTTTAAACAGTGAATTTAGGTATTCATATAAATCCAAGTGCAGTTGTTAGTGAAGGCTGCACAGAAATGTTGCACTAAATTAAAAGTTCAAATGTTACAAATAAGTTACAATATTGATGATCTAATACTGGTAGCACTAATATAACAATTTGATGGTATAAAGTAACAAAGTAACAATAAAGTAACAATTTTGAAATACATTGATAGTTGTATTTTTTTTTGGTCTTTTATCTCCGTATTCTTAACAGTGTTTTATATATATATATATATATTTTTTTTTAAATGCATAATAGTAACCCTACAATGTGATCAAACAGTTTAAAATAGCTGGGCTAAGATATATAACAATTTTGATGACTGCAGAAATACGTTAATTCAGTGCATTATCCCACCGGTCACCATAAAACACAATTTTTCACACACTTTTCCAAAAAAAGAATTATTGATTATTTCAAAGGGTTACTAATGACACATCATTTGGATATTTTCATATCTGGGAAAAATTGGGGATTAAACGGGTTAATTTAGGTTATACAATATTCAACTCAATTTTTTTTAAGTCAGTTTAATATAATTTAAGTTGAAATTGCTTGTACAGCCAATCTGATTATACTTAAAAAATAAAATAAAATTAAGACAGCAAGTGAACTTAAGTAAAAGTGCTGTTATAACAACTTAAAATTTGAGATAACTTAAATATCCAACTTAAGTAAACTAAAGTAAATTGAACTTATAATTTGAAGTCAAGCAAGAACACTTACTTTTAAGTTGAAACAACACATTTTTACTTATTCTAATGTTGTGATATCTAATCGCAGCAATCATTTGTTAAACCGTGAATAGAAATGATATTAGAGTATCCTTTAGTTTATCATAAATGCTTGTCAGTGCATTCAGCAGTATCTTTAACCATATTTCAAAGACAATAGAAGTAATTATGAAGTTACATTTAAAGATGCACTGAAGTCCTACTTGAATAGGTCAAAAAATACCTATTACACCTATTATAATACATTTTCATTTAACTGGAAATAAAATGCATGAGTCTAAAAACATTACATTCAATTTGCACTTAAGTGTATTATTTTAAAATATATGATTTACTTGGTAAAAATGGAATACATATTAACAACTAAGAGTTTTTCCTCAATAAACTCCTAATCTGTTGCTTACTGATAGCGAGTGAGGTAGTTGCATCTTTTGTAACAATATACACAAGTGTTCAAAATTTGGGGTCAGTACGTTTTTATTATTATTTATTTTATTTTTTTTATAAATTAATACTTTTATTCAGCAACGATATGATAAAAGTGATGATAAAGTCTTACAGTGTAAAATATTTC